GAGGCGAGAGAGAGGGAGAAAATTTGGAACTCAAAATCTTATGGAAGTGAATGTTGAAAACTAAAAATAAATAAACAAATTTTTAAAAAGAACCCTTTCTCTATAGTTTCTCTCTTGGAAACCTCATCATCCTCACAGGAATTCAGTCCTGCAACACCAATTGCCTATTGGAAATTTCAAACATATCAAACTCAACGTTTCCAAAGCAGAACTCTTTTCCTTTCCTCAAAAACCTTTCCTTCTTTCAAACTTCCTTATTTCTGTCAAAGGTACTGCTTTCCCAGTCACCTCGATTCACAACCTCAATACCATATCTATCTCTTCATTCTTACTCACCCCATGGGAATCCACTCAGTCGGCAACTCTTGCTTTTTGATCTCCACCTCTCTCATCTGCTCCCTGCTCTTGACATTCACCATTCTTCATCTGTTCGCAGCCACCCCCCTAGTTCAGGCCCTCATCACCTTTCACCTGAACTATTGTACTAACCTCCTAATTGGTCTCCCTCCCTCAAACCTCTCCCCATCCCAATCTATCACAGCTGCCAAAATGATTTCCCTAAAGCTCAGTTCTGACCATGTTCATGTCGCTACTCAATAAATTCCAATGGCTCCCTATTAACTCATCTATTTGGCACTGAAAGCCCTTGATGAACTGGACCCAGCCAACCTTTCCAGACTTAATACACATTACTCTCCTTCCAACACCCTGTGGGACAAACTTGATTTCTTTTTGTTACTCATCAGTGGTGCCCTATTTCTAACCTCCATGCTTTTGCAGTGTCAGTCCTCCATGCATGGAAAGCACTTCCTCATTCTCTCAAGAATACCTAGTCTCCTTCAAAATTTGCTCAAGCACAAACTTCTACACGATGCCTTTCCTGAGCCTGTTAGCTACCAGCATCTTTGCCCCACTCCCACCTCGTCTGGAAAAAAAAAAAAAGAATCGCCTGCCGGAGAGAATATTGTCTCCTCCAACAGAACATAAGCTCTTTGAGATGAAGATTGTTTCACTTTTACCTTGGTATCCCTAGAACCTCGAACAATACTTGTCACGTGGTAGGCATTTAATAAGTGTTTGTTGATTGAATGATTGATAAAAATCTTCTGAGATTAACATAACCTATTGGTCACCTATATTTGAATAACCTTGATGCATTCACAAAACAAGCTTGAAAGTGGGGCTTGCTTTGTCATTTGGATACACGAAAAGATATCAGTACCAGGAACAGGGCTAGGCTCTGGGGACCCAAATACAAAAGAATTAAACAATCGCTACTCTTAAGCTACTATTCTCTCAAAGACTCCATTTCCAGCTCTAAAGCTATGGTTCCCTGGCTTTGGGACATTTAGTTGTGCGACTATAAACAAGTCACTCCCCCTCTCAGAGCTTCCCCCTCCCCATTTGTAAAGCGGCAATAATAATCCCGGGGCCACCTACCTCAAAGGGTTGTAGTAAGGAAAGAACATTGCAAACCTTCAAGTCTAGTACAAATGTAAACTATTCTCATTTTTGTTGTTATTGCCTGGAGGTATTGGGGGGGGGGGGAAGGGAAAGAGTAGTCGTATTCACCTGAGGCACTAGGGTAATCATTGCACTGGCTTGAGACCCTGGGCAAATTCCTGGGAGTAGAACTGTAACTACAGCAAGAGGACCCCCCCCCCGATATTTGCCAGGAATTGAGGACAATTATTGGGGAGGCAGGTGGGAAGGGGGGCAGGCAGTGGATGTCATTTGGGAGCAAAGCTATGGTGGTGAGTTATAGGAGACAATGGGGTGGAAACGCTGACCTTCTCCCTCACTGGGGCCCCACCCGAGGTAGGACTGTGAGTCATGGAGGGGTAAAAGTCTCCGGGGTGAGGTAGGAACAGCGCTGGTTTTATGGAGGCTGCACTGCCGGTCCCTTAAGGGGGGAAGTTGGTCATTTGGTTTCCTTGCACCCTGAACCATAAAAGGCGCAGCACAGAAAGAGTTAAAGTCAAGTTTTTCCTTGTCTCTCATCACCCTTAGAGAAATGCTTTCCTGTGAGTTTGCTGGGTTGATTCTCCAGGCCGAGGCAAGTAGTATTCATTTAATCTTGCCTCTTTTTTAAAGGATTCTTTTAATTCTTAGTAAAGAAAGTTGGCTTTAATTGTGTTTTATATTCCACCAGCGCTTGCTGCATTGAAAACCCTGAACCTACTTGAGGCATTGCCTCCAACAAAAGGGGTACGACAGGAAGGGGGGAAATGAGTTCTTTTAACCCTGTGAGTGAGCACAATTGCTTTCTATGTCCTTAGGTGCATAAACAAAGCCTGTACCAGATTTAATGCCTGGTGAACTTGATTGCTGGGGAGGTGGGGGGGTCAGGGGAAGGGAGACTGGTAATAATACCTTAGTGGAGGAGGGGCGGCAGTGGTGATAATACCCTGGGTGTGAGGGGGAAGTGCCAGATATAGAAATTCCCAAATTCTACTAGGTAGGGGCAAATGAGGCACATAATCGAGAAGTCCTTAAAGTGTAACCAAGCCATTTGTATCAGGAGTGAGGCTCTGACACTAGCTACCTGAGAGAAATCAATCCACTACAAAAATATGCTGAGGGGAGGGAGACAGGCAACCAGGATTATGAGAGAGTGAAACAGAATGAAGCAAAAACAAAGGCAAAGGCATCAATAAAATGTACCTTTTTTAAAGGATGAAACCAGAAGTAAAATATTTTTTAAAGCCTCGCTGCAAATTTATTATTGGGGAAATGTCCAAAGGTTAAAACTCAATTGATAGAGAAGCTGCTGCTGCAGTGAAGGCCAGAGGCTCCCCAATTAAAAAAAAAAATACATTACCTAAAAATGCTGAAACTGACAGCTCCCATGATGCTTCACGGCAGCATGCCCATTTGGGCATAATTGTGGGATGTTGCTAATATACGGGAAACAGTACTGAGATTCCTTGATAGGATGAGGGCCCTAGCAGCTGGTGGGGTAATGGAGTCAGGAAGATTGGAGTTCAAATCCAACCTCAGATCTTTACTAGATATGTGACCCTGGGCAAGTCACTTAATGTCTGGCTGCCTCAGTTTTCTCATCTGTAAAATGCAAACAATAATAGCACCTACCTCCCAGGATTGTTAAGAGGAACAAATGAGATAATAATTGTAAAGTGCTAAGCGTGTAGCAGACATTATGTAAATGCTTAGTTCCTCCCCACTGCTGCCTTTCAACTGCTCACAAGGCCACCACTAGTGGCTAGAAAAGAGGCTAGGTGGTCCTTCAAGGCTGATCGAATATAGCAGATACGGAGTCACCTTGTGGCCTTAGGTGAGTTGTCCAGGCTTTTATATTTACTTTGTGGCAATATTTGAGAGAGAAAGAGGGGGGTGAAGAGGGAGAGAGACAAACAGAGAGACAGAGACAGAAGGAGACAGAAGAGGAGAGGAGACAAAGAGAGAAGAGACAGCTAGAGTGATAGAGATTCAGACTGTTAGCATCCTCTTCCCTCTGCCCATCCCCCTTAACCACCACTAGCTCTGAGATCAGTAGTCAGATCAACACTACCATTCATAGAAAGGACATGTCAATCAGTTTTGCCCTGTGGTTCCACTCACCATCCTGTGTCATCCAAGACCAACTCCCCTCCCTGGCCACAACTCCCCTCCCTATGTTGTCTTCCCCTATTAGAACATAAGCTTCTTGAGGACAGCGACTCTCTTGCTTTTTAAATTTGTATCCCCAGGGCATAGTGAGCACCTAGCCGGTGCTTTTTCATTTATTTATCCATCCACTCTCCCAGGATTTCCTGAAGTCATTTGTGCCCATTCAGATTCTTTTTGGGTGACTTTTGGGGGGCAATATTCCCAATAGTTCCAGCCCCAGACCTGTGGAGAAATCATTCTTTGGGGCTGCTGTGGAGGAAGGTCTTCCTTCTCCTCTCCCAGAGTGGCCATCTGTTAGAAACTACAGTTTCCAGCAAGATTTATGCCTGGTGAACCCAGCTAGTCCATGGCTGATTACAGTTTTATGTTATGCAATATCAGGTGCCCAAGGGCCCTGTTGGCCCAGGAATTTCTAATTGGAGTCTGCTGAGATTGACATTCTGTTACCTGCTGGATTGCATGTATTCGAATAACCTTGATGTATTGACAGAACAAGCTGGGAATTAGGACACATGGAAAGAATTCTGTGCCGGGTTGTTGTTGGGTTTTTTTTCATTCAGAACGGAGGAATACAAGGGAGTCTGGAGCAAGCTGTATAACCAAACAGCAAATGAGTTGCTTGGGCATTTATTGGGTGCCTATTACGTGCAGGGCACTATACTATACCCCTCAAGATACAAAAATTAGAAAGAACCTCAGGGGCCCTATAGGTTAACCTGTGTGTAACAAGAATCCTCTCTCTAACGTATCTGACAAATGGGAATCCAGGCTGTGCTTCTAGACCACCACTGAGTGGGAGCTTACCACCTCGTGGGACAGCCCATGCCTCTTTCAGACAGCTCCCATTGCTAGAAAATTAATTTTTACCTTAAGCCTAAATGTCACTCTCTGTAACCTCTACCTTCTAGGGAAAAGCATCAAAAATTGAATCCCTCTCCCAGGTGAGAGTCCTTTAAATACTAGAACATAGTTAACCACTGCATTAGAGAACATATTCTATGAACAGCTTCATAACCTAAGAAATCTGAGTAGTATAGTCAACTGGTTATGTAGTAGGAATTAAGGAAGTCAGGGAAGGACCCCACACCCCCAGCCCTAAATGTCTCCTCTTTTAATAGTATTTTTTTTCAAACCTAGATCCCATTGATTACTCTGTGCAGGAGGGACTGAATAGGCAAGAAGACATGGTTGGTCCCTTGGAGTCTTTCAGCTGGCCAGAACTTAGTATTGGTGGTGGTCAGGTTTGAAGGGGAAGCCCAGATCCTGGGACTGTTTTTCCATCAGCTTCACATTCAGGTTGCTAAGGTGGGCTTCAGTCACAGCTTCATCCAGCTTTTGAGAAAGAAGTGCACTCCCACAAGAGTACTTGTAAAAATATGGAACGTTTCACAAGTTTGCATGTCATCCCTGTGCGGGGGCCATGCTAATCTTCTTAGTATCGTTCCAATTTTAGTATATGTGTTGCTGAAACAAGCACTTTTAATTGCATTTTCAATTAATTAATTAATCAATTCATTTGAAATTAAGAAGGAAATCCAGGAACCAGGAGGGAGAAGACTTGGATAAAGGTCAACAGAGACAAAAGCAGAAACAATTTTGTCATTGGAGTTAGCACAATTAGGACAGGAGGAAATAATTGAAGTCAGAAAACAGATCGTAAGCTTGACACAGAGTCAGGATATAATAGTGATGTGGGACTTTGAGTATCTGGATGTTGGCTGGAGTTCTCTCTCTGTGCCTCTGTCTCTCTCTAGGAAATTCTATTCTTGGTCTGATTTTTTAATAAAAATTGGTTACTGGAGTGGGAATGGTGAGAACCTTGAGGAGTAAATGACCATTCCATCTTAGAATCAGGGATAAAGAAAAAACAAAACCTGGGAATAATCTTATCCTAGATCTTAAGAGACCAGATATCAAGGTGTTCAGATGAAGGATAGGTAGGATCCTATAAAATAAATATTCTACAGGCAAAATGAGCCCAGGAAGGATGAGAAGCTAAATAATAAAATATTGAAGACTTAAAGACAAACCAGTTTTGATAATCAAGAAGTGGGGTGTTATCTAAAATAGGGGTGCTTAACCTTTTTATGTCATGGATCCCTTTGGTATCTAGTAAAGCCTATAGATCCCTTCACAGAATTGTGATTTTAAATAACCAAAGGAAATGCTAAATTTCAGTGTAATTTTAGTGAAAATAAAGATTTTTTTTTGCCCATTCAAGTTCAGATTCACTAAAATCTCTCCACAGATCCCTAGTGTAAAGACTTCCATGTAGGTTCAAAAGGAACTCACTGACCAATATATATTTTTAAATTTGTTATTTTTCATTTCTGCATTTAGCAGGCATTCCTTTCCTCTTCCGTCCTACCTCTCCCCACTGGAAAATAAAAGAAAAACAAAACCTTGTTAGCAAATATTTATATTTGAGTAAAACGTATTCCCACACTGGCCATGTCCAAAAAATGTATGTCTCAGCCTACACCCTATCAGTCAGTCAATACACATTTATTAAGCACGTACTATGTGCCAGGTACTGTGCTAACCCTGAATCTATCACTTCTCTGTCAGGAGGTAGATAGCCTTCTTCATCCCTTGTCCTTGTCAGTTCTGGTTGGTCATTGCATTGATCAGAGTTTTTGAGTCTTGAGGTTGTTTCTTTACAATGTTGTTATTGTAGATATTGTTCTCCTGTATCCACTCACTTCATTCTGCAATCAGGTCATACAAGTCTTCCAAGGTTTGTCTGAAACCATCCCTTTTGTCATTTCTTACGGTACAATAATATTCCATTGCATTCATATACCATAATTTGCTCAGCCATTCCCTAGTTTAACTGCTCAGCATCCCTTTAGTTTCTAATTTCCACGTAATCAAATGGTGCAGTGAATAGTTCGCCTGCCCTGGAGTCAGAAGGACCTGAGTTCAAATCTAACCTCAGATACTTTCTAGCTGTGTGACCCTGGGCAAGTCACTTAATCCTGTTGACCTCAGTTTCCTAATCTGTAAAATTAGCTGGAGAAAGAAATGGCAAACCACTCCAGTATCATCTCCAAGAAAAGCTCAAATGGGGTCGCAGAGAATCAGACACAACTGGAACAACTCAACAACTACTACAAAAAGAATTACTCTAATTTTTTTCCCCATACAGGTCTTTTTCCCTTTGATCTCTTCGGTATACATAGTCCTAGTAGTGGTATTACTGGTTCAAAGGATATGTACAGTTTAATAACTTTTTGGGTGTAGTTCCAAATTGCTTTCCAGCAATTGATGGGGCCAATTCACAGTTTCACCAATAATATACAAGTATGTGTATTTTCTCGAAACCCCTCCAAATCTGTCATTTTCCCCTATTTTGGTCAATTTTGCCACTCTGATGGGTATAAGGTGAAACTTCAGAGTTGCTTTAATTCGCATTTCTCTATTAGCAGTTTGGAGTATTTTTTCATATGGCTATTAATAACTTTGATTTATTCCTTAGAAAACTACCTATTCATATCCCTTCACCAGCTATCAATTGGGGAATGGCTCTTAGCCTTATCAATTTGAATCAGCTCCTTATATATCTTGGAAATGAAACCTTTGTCAGAGAAACTTACAGCAAAGATTTTTTTTTCCCCAGTTAATTGTTTTCCTTCTGACTTCAACTGCTTTTTTTTTGTGCAAAAACATCTTACATGATCAAAATTGTTCATTTTACCTTCTGTAATCTCCTGTATCTTGTATGTGGTCCTGAACTTTTCTTTTATCCAGAGGTCTGAAAGGTAATTTCTTCCTCCTCTTCTAATTTGCTTAAGATGGACCAACACAGTTTTTTAAGACATATATTAGAGATGGAAGCAGAGTCAAATAATGGAGGATAAATAGAAAGGCAGGACGGGCTTGCAAGGATCCTGTTAGCAGCCCAGAAGCTCTAAATGAGTGAAATGAGGATAACTGAAAACAACAGAAAGTGTTTTTAAAGCAATACTGGGTAAAAGCAGAAGAGAGGAAATAAATATGTGTCAGGCTTTGCGCTGAGTGCGTTACAAATGTTATTTCTTTTAATTGAGGTAGGTATTTTTATTATGTCCATTTTACAGGAGAAACTGACACAAACAGAGGTTAAGTGTCTTATCCAGAGTCACACAACTAGTAACTGTTTTGAGGCTGGATTTGAACTCCAGTCTATCCTGACTCCAGGCCCAGTGCTCTATCCACCAGACCCACCTAGTGGTCTCTAGAGGAGACTCAAACAGGGACATCATTCAGGATGGATGAAACAATGATATATGATGACAGAGAGACCATGGAGCTGTTCATCGCTGTTTCCTTTGCCAAGGAGAGTAACCTCTGGACTGGTCATGACAGAATAAAAATTATTCTCATTGGGTTGGTAGCCAAGACAAATAAAGAGAAAGTAAGAGAGCCCCTAACTGCCTTTCTGAAGTTCCAGGCCCCTGAACCAGATAGAATACATCCTAGGGTGCTGAAGGAATGGATCCAGAAGTGGTGGGCTTTCTCTGGAGACACCCAATCTCCCTTCATTGGAAGGAGCCTTTGAGCAGAGGCTGGAGGATTACTGGTCAGCAATATTGCAGGGGGACTCCTGTTTAACCACAGGTTGGCCTCAGAAGCCCTTGCCAACTCTGAGATTCTGCAAATCTCTACAGCAGGGCTGAGGAATCTGTGGCCTTGAGGCCACATTTGTTCTGTGAAGTTTGGATTCAGTCAGAGGGCCCCACTTGAGGACCTAGAGGGCCACATGTGGCCTCGAGGCTGCAGGTTCCCCACCCCTGCTCTAGACTGTTCAGTTCTGACATTCTAATGTTCTGCATTTTAAGAGCTCTCTCAGTTCTGACACCCCATCATCTAGGGAAGGAAAAGAAAAGGAAGGAGGGAAATCTTGGTAGCCAAGCTGCAGCCTATAAGCCCTCAAGGTCTTAACTGGACGTGGGCATTGAAAGCAAGGACATGGGAAGATCAAAGAAGACTTAGTGTACCTTCTAATTTTCCCTCAAGTCACCTCTGAGTCTATGCAAGGATTCATATTTACAAGCTCCCATTTTGGTCCCCAGGAGCCAAGAGCTGCTGTTGAATCCTAGGCACTATTTCCTTGGTTGAGCTGAAGGTGCCAAGGACGTGGGTGCACAGGCCCAAAGGGAGATGGTTTTGGTGCCATAAAAAGGGGGCAGAACACACACATTCATAATGCGCAGTATTTTCCAAATGGAATTAAGTGGTGGGGGGGGAGTCTGCAGGGAAAAAAGGCTCAATTTTCCACAGCAAAGAGTTATTAAGAAGAAGGGGGAGTAACATTTCCATTATTTAGAAGTTGGACAGACCCCGCAGGTGCTACTTTGCTTCCCTGAAGTCCAGAGCTTAATTCAAAGCTTTCAATTCTGCTTGGTAGATATCAGCAATACCAGGTAAGAGTCAAATCCTTGGGCATTTCTTTCTTGCCTTATTAAGCTGGAACAAGGGCCTGGAGCAGTCTTCTTCCAGCACCTGAAAACATTTCTATAAAAAATGCATCAATGGTTAATTAATTCTAGTGACAGATTTAGCTTTCTCAATTCAGATGCTACGGCTGGTGCCATGTGGTAGAGGGGAGCTTTATGGTGGGTTTTCTCTGCTATGCTGTGAGGCAGGATGGGCTTAGCTAGATCAGCTATAGCCAGAGTCAGGACTATTGAGAGAGGAAGAGGCAAGGTAGAACAGAACTAGAACAGAGCTAGAAGGGAGGCTAAGTTAGAACAGAGGCTAAGCTAGAATAGAACATGGGACTCTCAACAGAGAGGAACATATTTTAACATCATTTGATATCAACAGCCAGCAGGAAATTTCTTTTGTGCTAAGTCCTGTGTGAGTTCTGGTTAAATCATCAGGGTGTCACACAGGACAATGATAACTGCCATTCCTTTTGATGGCCCTAGGGAGACGCTATTCTCAAATTTCCTCCAGGAGCATCAACATCCCTCCCAGGCTCTATTCATGACAAGTATAACTCTTGTATCCATCCTGATGCAAAGGGCTGAGAGACTTTTCCCACTTCTCCAGCTCATTGTACTCACCCAAGGTAAGCTGGGAACACAGTGTCTGATACTTTCCCCATCCTTGAGTAACCCTGGATGCTCTGATGTTGTGGCCCTTCCCAGAGTAATACTACATAAGCAGCTAAGACTATACTGGACTCTAGAGGGAGGGAGGGCTGCTTACAGGTGAATATTATTAGTATACTAGTATTTGTATAGACTCTGATATGAGCTCTATTTGTTTCCCTTAACCTGTTTGTAACTACATTGGCTCACAAGGATCAAAGTGTAAACAGGTTTATTTATAGGTTCAGGAAAACAAATAGGATTCATGTTAGGGTCTGTAAAAATACTAGTAGCCATGTACAAGCAACCCTGCCCTGGAGTCCTATACAGATGCAACCACTTAGAGTACAACCTGGAGGGGAGTGGGGTATAGCATGAGGACACCAAGTATTATTCCTCC